GCGGCGGGGCTGGGCCGCGGGGCTCCGGGGCTCTGCTGGAAGGTGGGGCTGGGAGGAGCGCGGTGAGGGGAGCTGCGGGGCACGGCTGCGGGGCACGGCTGCGGGGAATGGCTGCAGGGCGGCGGGATGAGCGGTGTAGGGGTGAGGGTAGAGCGCGGAGGAGCCGCGTGAGGGGAGATCAGTGAAGGCGTGCGCTCACTCCGCGCTCTGCTCTCTGCTCTCCTCAGGCTGCGCAGTCCCTGCTCCGTCCCGGGGCGTCCTGTGTGGTGGTGCCGGTGAGGAGCAGGAGGAAGGGCCCGCGGGTGCCCGAGTGGGCCCGGGAGCTGAGCCCTGAGGAGCGGCAGAGGCGGCTCAAGGCCGCGGCTCCCATCTTCCCGGACGAGCGCATCGAGAGAACTTTCTACTTGGCGTGCACGGGTACGGCCAAACAGTGCCCTCAGCCCGGCCCTGGGGATGGCGTGAGACACAGAATGAGCTGAAATCAGGCTGAATTCCTTCCCCCTGCCTGTTCTGGCCAAGGGGAGAGGCGTCCCTGATCTCCAGAGTTGTTGGTGCCTCCTTGAATCCTGGAATCGCAGAGGGGTTGGTGTGGGGAAAGCCTCCAGTGCCAGCCCTGGGACTGTCCCAGGCTGCTCCCAGCCACTGCCAGGGATCCACAGCTGCTCTGGGCGCCCTGTGCCACGGTCTGACCATGCTCACAGCGAGGAATTTCTTCCCAAAATCCCTTCCTGAGTCCGTTTCTGTGTCTGTAAAGGGAGCAATGCTGGCAGGATCTGGGAAGCGGCATCATGGAATGGTTTGGGTGGGAAGGGACCTCACAGCCCATCCAGTGCCAGGTGCAGGGACACATCAGGGACACCTCCTCCTGTCCCAGGCTGCTCCAAACTGGCCTGGGACACTTCCAGGAATGGGGCAGCCACAGATTTCCTGGGAAATCCATTCCAGCCCCTCCCTGCTCTCACAGGAGGGATTTCTTCCCAATATCCCATCCAAACTTCAGTTTGGAGCCATTCCGTGTCCATAGTCCCTCTCCATCATCCCTGTCGGTTCCTGGAAGGTCACAGTTAGGTCTGTGCCTTCTCCAGACTGATCAATCCCAATTTTCCCACCCTTTCCTCTTGGGAAAATCCATCCCTCCATCCTCCCTCACCAAACCCAACCTGCTGCCATCCCAGCACAGAATCCCAGCCCTTTTTGGGTTGGAAAGACCCCCAGATCCCATGGGCAGGAACACCTCCCCCTGTCCCAGGTCACTCCAGCCTGGCCTGGGACACTTCCAGGGATGGGGCAGCCACAGATTCCCTGGGCAATCCATTCCAGCCCCTCCCCACCCTCTCAGGGAGGAATTCCTCCCCAAAATCCTCTCTGAACTTCATTTGGAAGCATTTTATCCCTGTTCCCTGGGCTGTGAGGGACGAGCAAGCACCTGCTCCGATTTCCCCTCTCCGTTCCCTGGGTTCTGAGCTGCTTTTCCCAATCCCAGCTGAAATCATGGATCCCTACGTCCCTCCTGAGGGCGATGCCCGCCTCACCTCGCTGTCCAAGGACGGGGTGAAGCAGCAGATGCAGAAGCTGAGGCAGACAGCGGCCTCCCAGCTGGCGTACGTACCCCTCATTAGTTAATTGGCTTCGTTAACCTGCTGCAGCCGCTCTCTCTCCTGCCCTCGGAGAGATTCTTCCCCTCAAATCCCCGCCCAGGGCACCTCCAGGCCACTCAGGACCCCTCAAAACTCCCCCCAATTCCCTCTAGGACCTCCCAGATCCCCTTAAAACTCCCCCAGGATCCTCCAGATCCCCTCAAAACCCTCACAGGTCACCTCCAGACCACCTAGGACCCTCCAGATCCCCTCAAAACTCCCCCCAAATCCCTCCAGGACCTCCCAGATCCCTTAAAACTCCCCCAAGACTCCCCAGATCCCCTCAAAATTACCCCAGGACCCCCCAGAACCTTTAAAAATTACACCAAATCCTTCCAGGACTCCTCAGATCCCCTCAAAACTCCTCCAAGATGCCCCAGATCTCCTCAGAGCTCCCCTAGGGCCCCCAAGGTCACCTCCAGACCACCCAGGACCCCCCAAATCCCCTCAAAACTCCCCCAAACATCCTCAGGACCCCCTGTGACCCCCCTCATGTTCCCTCCAGACCACCCAGGACCCTCCAAATCCACTCAAAACTCCCCCAGGAGCCCCAAATCCCTTCAAAACTCCCCCAAACAACCCCAGGACCCCCTGTGATTCCCCCCATGTTCTCTCCAGGCCATTCAGGACCCCTCAGAACTCCCCCAGGACCACCCAAATCCCCTCAAAACTCCCCCAACCCCCCTCAGGAGCCCCCCAGGATCCCCTGGCACCCCCCAGATCCCCTCATAACTCCCCCAAATCCCCCCCAGCACCTTTCCGGGCACATGGGACCCCCCAAAAATCCCCATAAAACTCCCCCAATCCCCCCCAAATCCCCTGAAGTGCCCCCAGGACCCCTCAAGCCCCACCAAACTCCCTCTGTGAGGGGGGCTGAGGGATCTCTGGGTGGTTTGAAGGATTCCTCTCTGCTTCTCTTCCCTTCCCCAGGAATTCCTGCTGGGAATGGCCACACTGCACACTCCTAATTTTTTCAGATTCTTTGGATTTGGCTCTTTTATGACCACCTGGAGGTTTTGTCTTAGCGGGGAGATCTCCAATCCTCAGCTGGTTAAAAGCTGGGATCGAATCCCGTAGGATCCAAACATCCAGGACAGCTCCAATTTATTCTTTCCTTGATTTTTTTTTTCCTTTTTTCCCCCCCCTTTTCCCCAGCCTGCGGAAGATCAAGGATCACGACCCGGATTTCAGCACCAAAACCTTCCCTGAGAAAGCCCAGGAGATTTTTATCGAGGCCCACAACTCCCTGGCAAAGTGAGGCCCCTTCCAGGATCCGTGTGGAGCTGCTCAGCTATTCCATGGAATCGCGAAATTACGGGATGGTTTGGGGTTGGGAGGGACCTTAAAGCCCACCCAGTGGGATTAGAAGGACAGAGAGGGAATCTGTGGATTCCTGGAAGTGTCTTAAGGCTGGACAGGGCTTGGGAAAGGGGGAATTAGTGGGGGAAAAGTGGGAATTTTGTGGGGGAAAAGTGGGAATTTTGTGGGGGATAATGAGGATTTTGTGGGGGAAAGTGGGAATTTTGTGGGGAAAGAAGGAATTTTTTGTGTGAAAGGTGGGGATTTGTGGAGAAAAGCAGGAATTTGTGGGGATAGTGGGAATTTTGTGGGGGAAAGGATGAATTTTCTGGGGGAAAGGAGGAATTTGTGGGGAACCTCTTCTGTTTCCTTTGCAGCTTTAACAAGCAGAAGCTTCACTCCCTGGTGACCGAGCGCTGCTACCCCGTAAGTGCCTGGAATTTTGGGATGTTATAATGTTGCATTATAATATTATAATGTTGTATTATAATAGTATAATGTTGCATTATAATGTTGTATTATATTATAATGTTGTATTATAATATTATAATGTTGTATTATAATATTATAATGTTGTATTATGATATTATAATGTTGTATTATAATATTATAATGTTGTATTATAATAGTATAATGTCACATTATAATGTTGTATTATAATATTATAATGTTGCATTATAATATTATAATGATATATTATAATATTATAATGATATATTATAATATGATATGTTATAATATTATAATGATATATTATAATTATATAGCATAGTATTATAATATAACAAATATATTATGTTTAATATTTTTAAATTTGTTAATTTAGTAATTATTATTTAATAACTTATATTTAGTTATATAATATAATATATAATATAATTATATACTATATAATAATAAAATATGCATTATATATAAATATATAATAATGTAATATAATAAATATAATTTATTATTCGATATTATATTTGATAACTTGATAATTAAATAATATTTAATAATAAATAATAGTAAATAATTAATAATAAATAATAAATCAAACATTCACTATTTCCTCTCTGTCCCATTCAAAGCACATCGGAGCCGATTTTGGCTAACGATTAAATCATTAAAATGAATTGTTTGTATGAATTCCCGTGTGTTTTCCCCTGGCAGGACATGGTGCGTGGGAACAGGTACAGAACCATCCGCTGGAGGTTCCTGGAGTCGCTGGAGCCGCCCAGGGTGGTGCACGTGCGCTGTGAGGGCGTCATGAACCGCGGCAACCTCTACGGGCAGGTGACGGTGAGGATGCACAGCCGCCAGGTGAGCCCGGGGAAAGGGACCTGGAATCCTGTCCTCGTCCCTGTCCTCGTCCCTGTCCTCGTCCCCATTCCTCATCCCCATTCCTCATCCTCATCCCCGTCCCCATCCTCATCCTCTTCCCGTCCTCATTCTCGTCCTCATCCCCATCCTTGTCCTCGTCCCCGTCCTCGTCCCCGTGCTCATCCTCATCCCGTCCCCATCCCCGTCCTTGTCCCTGCCTCATCCTCATCCCTGTCTCCATGCTCATCCTCATCCCCATCCCGTCCCCGTCCCCATCTCCAGGGACACTTCCCGCTGTCCCAGCCTGGCCTGAGACACTTCCAGGGATGGGGCAGCCACAGATTCCCTGGGAAATCCATTCCAGCCCCTCCCTGCTCTCACAGGAGGGATTTCTTCCCAATATCCCATCCAAACTTCAGTTTGGAGCCATTCCGTGTCCATAGTCCCTCTCCATCATCCCTGTCGGTTCCTGGAAGGTCACAGTTAGGTCTGTGCCTTCTCCAGACTGATCAATCCCAATTTTCCCACCCTTTCCTCTTGGGAAAATCCATCCCTCCATCCTCCCTCACCAAACCCAACCTGCTGCCATCCCAGCACAGAATCCCAGCCCTTTTTGGGTTGGAAAGACCCCAAATCCCATCCCATGGGCAGGAACACCTCCCCCTGTCCCAGGTCACTCCAAACCCCACCCATCCTGGGAATTTTTTGGGGATTTTTTGCCAGATTTTGGCCATCTATGACCGCTTTGGGCGGCTCATGTACGGCGGGGAGGAGATTCCCAAGGATGTCCTGGAATACGTTGTGTTTGAGAGGTACCTGGTGAATCCCTACGGAACGTGGAGGATGCACGGGAAGATCGTTCCGGAATGGGCCCCGCCCAAGGATCCCATCATTAAGGTGGGAAAAGGCTGGGAAATTTCCCTGGGGGGAAATGGAGATCCCTGGGGAGGAAAATTGGGATCCCTGGGTGAGGAAAATTTGGATTCCTGAGTGAGGAAAATTTGGATTCTGGGTGAGGAAAATTTGGATTCCTGGGAAGGAAATTGGGATCTCTGGGTGAGGAAAATTGGGATCCCTGGGGAGGGAATGGAGATCCCTGGGGAGGAAAGTTTGGATTCCTGGGGAGGAAAATTGGGATTCCTGGGGAGGAAAATTGGGATTCCTGGGTGAGGAAAATTGGGATTCCTGGGTGAGGAAAATTGGGATTCCTGGGTGAGGAAAATTGGGATTCCTGGGGAGGAAAATTTGGATTCTGGGGGAGGAAAATTGGGATCTCTGGGTGAGGAAAATTGGGATTCCTGGGGAGGAAAATTGGGATCTCTGGGTGAGGAAAATTGGGATCTCTGGGTGAGGAAAATTGGGATCCCTGGGGAGGAAAATTTGGATTCCTGGGGAGGAAAATTTGGATCCCTGAAGGGGAAATGGAGATCCCTGGGGATTATTCTGGACAAACCTGAGCTGCCTGTGAGGGGAAGCTGGGGGGATTCATCCATGGGCAGAGCAGTTTGGAATGTTCATGGAATCATTCCCTGGAGCACCTGGGAGCTGGGATGGGGGGGCTGAGGGCCTGGAATGGCTGAGGGCAGGTGTGGGATAATTTTGGGAATATTTTCCCCTCTGCCTGACCTGGAAAAGTGTCTCTGCTTCCGTGTGTTGCTAAAAATAGATTTTGGAGAAGAAGGAGGGGAGAATTCCAGCGGAATTCAAGGCTTCCCATCTCATTCCCTTCTCCTGCCTCCATCTGATCCCCCTTTTTTTCCCTTTCCAGAACCCTCTGCTCCCCTTTTTTCCTGCTGATTTTTGTCCCTTGCTTTTCCAGACGCTGATGATTCCCGCCCCAGCCCCGGATCCCTCACAGGAGCACGAAAAAGTGAAGTAGAAAGTTCTGGAAGGTGGGCAGCGGCAGCAAAACCGGCTGGGAGGGGAGGACTGGGAACGTGTTGGATGCGGCTGGGAGAAAATCTGGGAATGGGCTCCGGCCACTCCCAAATTTGTCCTCCAAGGAGCCAGAGGGGCTCGGGAGCGGGGTCTGGATGAGCTCTGGGAGGAGCTGGGCTCTGTCCCGTGTGCTGCAGCCTCACCCTGAGGATGAGGAGCCTCAGGAGCATCCACGGGCCGCCCTCTGTCCTGGAATTCCATGGGAGAGCCCTTGGAATATTTGTCACCTCCATGGGAGGTGCCACAGACCTGCTGCTCACTCATTAAAGCTTCACCTGTGGCTGTTGGCTCGAGTTCTTCCCCATCTCTACTGCTTCCCAAACTCTTTTTTTCTTTTAACTTTAAGACTTTAAATAAAGTTCTGTGCTGAGGTGGGTGCTGCCATTGCAGTTCCCCAAAAATTTCCACTGAAATTTCCCAAATTTCAGATTTTCTCGGTGCTGTCGGATTTCCAGCCGATAAAAATTTGATTTAATTTCACTTCGGATTGCTCACTCCTGCTGTCACTGAGGGACTGGCACCATCCTGTGGACACGGTGACATCTGCAGCTCTCCCTGCTTCTCCAGCATTCCTGGCTTGGGAAAACACTTATTTTAATTTATTTTTTCCCCCCATGATTGGGAATAAACCCTTGAGGCTCCTTCTTTATCCCTGATCAGTTCAAAATCCTCCCTGCTCACCCAAGAACAAACCTTTTTCTCCTTTATCTTGTCCTGCTTTTTAACTCGGCCGCTTCCAGAGCGTGGGAGAGTTCAGGGAATTTTTATTTCTTCCTTCAGAGGGGTTTTTTTGGAGCTGTGGCTCCTTTTTTTGGGAGAGCAGGACCCGCTCTTTGTGCCGTGCTAGGAGAGGAGCCAGCCGTGGAATCCCTGCCATGTGCTTTGGGATGTCACAATCCCTCTTTTCCCGGGGGAAAAAAAACCTTTTCCACGGAGCCTGGCTCGGGAGCTGAGCGTGGGATCTCAGATCCCTCCGTGGCTGGGCAGGAGGGGATGGAATTCCTCCAGAGGCAGGAGAGGATTGGGGTGGTTCAGGCTGGAAAAGGGGATTTTTGGGGTGATCTCATGGAGGATCCCAATCCCTGCAGGAGCCATGGGAAAGGTGGAGAGAAGGGATGGAGGGACGCAGGGAATGGGGGGGATCTTGGGAAGGAATTCCTGCCTGGGATGGAATTCCCAGAGGAGCTGTGGCTGATCCATCCTTGGGAATGTTCCAGGCCAGGCTGGAGCAGCCTGGGACGGTGGGAGGTGGCCCTGGATGGGCTTTAAGGTCCCTTCCCTCCAACCCTGGGGTTCTGTGGGGCTCCCCAGCCCCAGAGGAAAGGGGATTTTGGGGTGGAATGTGGCTTTTTCGGGACATTGACCTTTCCTTACAGTCCGCCCCCCTCCAGCCTGTGCCAGTCCATCCCTCCACTGCTGGATTTCCTCTCCAGCCCCTTCCCTGGGGAGATCCCGGCTCACTGTGAGCCTCTCCGAGCACACTCCGTAGGTAATTCCGTTTATTTCCTGTATTTACACAAAATTACACAACCGGGACCCCCCAACCCAACAGCGGGGCTGGGCAGGGGGAGCAGCCTCCAGCTCCGGCCTTTCCCTCCTGACAGGACCGGGGGGTGGATGGATGGATCCATGGATGGAGGGATGGATGATGGATGATGGATGGATGGAATCCATGGATGGATGGATCATGGATGGATTCATGGATCAATGGATGGATTGATGGATCCATGGATGGATGGATGGCTCCATGGAACCATGGATGGATGGATGGGTGGATGGATGGGTGGATGATGGACGGATGATGGATGAATGGAATCCATGGATGGATTCATGGAACTATGGATGGATTCATGGATGGGTGGGTGGATCCATGGATGGATGGATGATGGATGGTTCCATGGATCCATGGATGGATCGATGGATGGTTGGCTCCATGGGTCCATGGATGGAAGGATGGAACCATGGATGGATGGATGGATCCATGATGGATGGATCCATGGATGATGGATAGATCCATGGATGGATGGCTCCATAGAACCACGGATGGATGGATGGATGGATGGATCCATGGATGGATGGATGATGTATGGATCCATGGATGGATGGATGGATGATGTATGGATCCATGGATGGATGGATGGATGATGGATGGATCCATGGATGGATGGATGGATGATGGATGGATCCATGGATGGATGGATGGATGATGGATGGATCCATGGATGGATGGATGGATCCATGATGGATGGATCCATGGATGGATGGACCCACTGCTGCTGAGATCCGCTTACACCCCAGCCCCATCCCAGGAGCTCCCCCGAGCTCTGCCCTGCCCGGGGCAGCTCCGGGACGGCTCCGTGCTCTCCTCCTCCCACGGACACACCTCGGAGCTTTTCCTCGTGTCCGAGCCGGGCCTGGCAGGCGCTGGAGCCTCTCCAGCTTCCCAAGGACAAACCTCGGCCAGGCCAGTGCCGGGGCTGGAGCTGCTGCCCACCCCTGGGTGCTGCACGCCGGGCAGGAGCCGGCACAGGGGCCTGTGCTCGGCTTCCCCGCGGGATTTCCCCCTGGAATTTTCCAGAAGTGTTGGAGACACGGCGCTGGCTCCTGGCTGTCCCATCCCTGCTGGGGAATCTCTGTGGGCTCCCTGTGGCTGGGAGATTTCCTCCTCTGATCCCATGGGCTCTGCCGCTTCCCAGGGACAGATTTCAGATTTCCTGCTCTCCATGCTGTCGGATTTCTTGGATGGCTCCTTCCCCACTGCAGTTTTCAGGGAGAGCTCCTCCATGTCCAGGCTCTCCCATGGACAGATCGATTCCCTCTCTCTGCTCCCCTTCTCCAGAGCTTTGGTTGCTTGTTTTCCTGGGACTTTCTCCTTTCCTGGAGCTGTTCCCTTCTCCAGCTGAGGTTCAGCCACTTCCCAGGGACAGATCTCGGCTTTGTCACTGGATTCAACCTCCCAGGGACAGATCTCTGCCTTCTCCGAGCTCTGGGGTTTCCCCAAAGGTGCTTTGGGCAGTGCTGAGCTCCCAGTGCGGGGTTTGGCCAGAGGCTGCTCCATGTCCTGACTCTCCCAAGGACAGACGGACACTCGGTCTCTGCTCCCCTTCTCCAGAGCATTTGTGGCTTGTTTTGGGGGGAGTTTCTCCTTTCCTGGAGCTGTTCCCTTCTCCAGCTGAGGTTCAGCCACTTCCCAAGGACAGATCTCGGCTATGTCACTGGATTTAGAGTCCTGAGACTCCCATGGACAGATCGATTCCCTCTCCCTGCTCCCCTTCTCCAGAGCTTTGGAGGCTTGTTTTGGGGGGACTTTCTCCTTTCCTGGAGCTTTTATCTTCTCCAGCTGAGGTTCAGCCTCTTCCCAAGGACAGATCTCGGCTATGTCACTGGATTTAGAGCCCTGAGTCTCCCAGGGACAGATCTCTGCCTTCTCTGAGCTCTGGGATTTCCCTGAAGGAGCTTTGGGCAATGCTGAGCTCCTGATGTGGTGTTTGGCAGGAGGCTGCTCCATGTCCGGGCTCTCCCAAGGACAGATGGACACTCGGTCTCTGCTGTGCAGGGATCTCTCCGGGCTGGCCAGCGCTGCCTGGCGCGTGATGCGCTTGTCCCCCTTGGAGCCCCCAGCAGGGACCTGCTTTGGCTGCTGGGAGGGAGGCTCTGACACTTCCCAAGGACAGATCTCGGCTTTGTCACTGGATTTAGAGTCCTGAGTCTCCCAGGGACAGATCTCTGCCTTCTCTGAGCTCTGGGATTTCCCTGGAGCTTTGGGCACTGCTGAGCTTCTGGTGCTGGATTTGGCCGGAGGCTGCTCCGTGTCCGGGCTCTCCCATGGACAGATCGATTCCCTCTCCCTGCTCCCCTTCTCCAGAGCTTTGGTTGCTTGTTTTGGTGGGAGTTTCTCCTTTCCTGGAGCTGTTCCCTTCTCCAGCTGAGGTTCAGCCACTTCCCAGGGACAGATCTCGGCTTTGTCACTGGATTTAGAGTCCTGAGACTCCCATGGACAGATCGATTCCCTCTCCCTGCTCCCCTTCTCCAGAGCTTTGGAGGCTTGTTTTGGGGGGAGTTTCTCCTTTCCTGGAGCTTTTATCTTCTCCAGCTGAGGCTCAGCCACTTCCCAGGGACAGATCTCGGCTTTGTCACTGGATTTAGAGTCCTGAGACTCCCATGGACAGATCGATTCCCTCTCCCTGCTCCCCTTCTCCAGAGCTTTGGAGGCTTGTTTTCCTGGGAGTTTCTCCTTTCCTGGAGCTGTTCCCTTCTCCAGCTGAGGTTCAGCCACTTCCCAGGGACAGATCTCGGCTTTAACACTGGATTTAAATTCCTGAGACTCCCAGGGACAGATCTCTGCCTTCTCCGAGCTCTGGGATTTCCCTGAAGGAGATTTAGGCAGGGATTTGGCTGGGGGCTGCTTTCCTTTTTCTGGAGCTCTGGATCCCACTTTTTCCTCCCCCTTGGAAATGTCCCTCGTGTCCTGCCTCAACCTCTCTTTCCCCGACGGAGCTGCTGCCTGTTCCCACGGGCAGATCTCGGTTTTTGGGCTCGGCTCATCCTCCACCTCCCAGGGACAGACGTTCGCCTTTTTGCTCTCCGTGGTTCCAGCCCGCTGGGATGAGGGTTTGGCTAGAGCTGGGGGTTTTCCTGCGAGCCCCATCCCAGGCTGTTCCACACCTTTTTTGGGGGATTCCTGCCCCTCCTGCTCCTGCGGAGCCCCCTCTGTGTCCCAGGGGCAGATTTCTGCTCGGACACTCCTTCCCTGCTCCCGGCTCTCCCACGGGCACACCTCAGCCCTGCTGCCCTCCGCTTGCTCCGGGGCGGCTTTCGGCACTTCGGGTGGTTTTTCCATGCCCGGAGAGCGCTGTGAATCCCCCTCACTGCCCTTCCCCGGGCAGATTCCTGCTTTGGAGCTGGAATCTCCCCGCGTTCCCCCAGGACTGAGCTCTCCCTGCGCGCTCCCTGCCCCGCTCCAGCTCCTTCCAGTCTCGGGCTGGCTGCTCCCCTTTTCCAGCGCCTTGTCCGGGCTCTCTGGGCCCCCCCCGTCCTCCCGGGGAGCGATCGCCTCCTGGCGCAGCAGGGCTCCCCTTCCTGCCGGGATTCCGAGCTCTCCGGGCGGACAAACCTCAGCCCGCGGCTTGGTCCCCGCCGCGCCCCGCACGCTGCCGGGGGAGAGCCGGGCTCTGCTCGGGGTGGGCTCCGCAGGCGGCTGCTCCTCCTCCGAGTGGTCCCGGGGCTGGACGGATCTGCTGGTCCCCTGGAGCTGTTGAAGTGTCCCTTCCTCCGCTGTGAGCCCAGGACCGTCCTGCCCCAGATCCGCTGCGGGAGCCTCGTCCCCTTCCTGGGGCTGTACCCGTGTCACCTCCGGGGGACATCCAGCTCCTTGCTGGCCAGGGCTGGGTGGCTCCAGACCCCCAGCAGGACCCGCGTCCCCTCGGGCAGCGCTGGGCTCCTCTGCTGCTTTGTCCCCATGGCCTGTCCCCGGGGCCAGGCTGTCCCGTTGTCCTCCTGTCCCGCTGTCCCCCCAGTCCGCGGCTTCCCCGGGGCTGGCGGCGTTGTTGTTGTGCTGGAGGGCGGGGACCTCGAGGCTCTGCCCGCTCCTCTCGGGGCTTTTGGCAGCGGGCTCTGGGCTGACCCCCCCGAGGGACGCGGCCGAGGCCTCTGCCAGGCCGGACTTCTCCCTCCTGCTGCTCCCCCTCTTCCTGAGGCTCCCCTCGCTTTTCCCTTTCAGGATGCTCTTCCCCCTGGAGCGGTTGAGGGCTTTGATGGCGAGTCCCAGGCTCCGGAAACTCTTCTGGGGAGGCGGTTTGGGGCCGGGGGTGGTGGCCTCTGTGTCACCGGGGGTCCCGGACTCTGCTGCCTCGGCCGCTTTTTGTTTCCTGCTCAGGATCTCGTCCTGGACCAGCTCCCAGGGACAGATGTGTGCCGAGGTGGCGGTCAGCAGCCTGCCCTTCCCTGCCCCTGGGGGGGCCGCGCGCTCCGGATCGTCCCCAGCTGTCCCCTGCGTCCCTCCCGCCTGTGCCGGGGGGCCCGGGGGTGGCTGCGGACCGTCCCCGAGCGTCCCCGAGCGCTGCAGGCTCTGGTAGCGGACGGGGGGCGGAGGGGGGGTTTTCTTCACCGTCACCCTCACCCTCCTGGGCGGGTGGGCGCCGTCAACGCTGACGCTTTTGATGGGGGCGTAGGTGACACGTTTGTGTCCCCTGGCATCGCCCAGCGGGGCCGCGTCCTCCTGCGAGCCCCTCTCGGCGGGGCTCTGCGGGGTCGCGGTGCCGCCGGGGACCCCCGGGGCCGGCTCCGAGAGGTGGCGGCTGCCGGGCCACTGCTCACGGGCGGCCCTGCGGGCGGCCAGCAGCGCCACTTCCCGAGCCCCGGCGACAACGCTGTGCGACTTCTGCAAGGGCGGAGCGCGGCCCGGGGGTGGCTGCCAGTGCCCCGCCAGGTTTTGGGCGCTGGCCGATTTGCACAGGAGCGGGGCGGCGTCCAGCGAGTCGCTGTCCGATTGCTCCGAGTCCGGCACCGCCGCCGCCGGAGGCTCCTGGGGCGGGCTGGGGGTGCGCGACCCTCGGCGGGGCGGCCGCGGGGGCCCCTCGGAGCTGCGGGATTTGCGCAGGGCTGAGGAGCGGCGCCGGGAGCTTTCGTCCCGCATCCTCAGGCCGGTCCCGCCGGCATCCACGAGCCGCTTGGCCGAGGAGCTGCGGCGGGACAGGGTCCCCGGGCGGTCCCCGGTGCTGCTGCGGCGGGACAGGGTCGCCGGGCGGTCCCCGGTGCTGCTGCGGCGGGACAGGGTCCCCGGGCGGTCCCCGGTGCTGCTGCGGCTCTCGGCCAGCTCGGCCCCGCTCCGGCGCAGGATGGAGCGGACCAGGCTGCGGCGGGAGCTGCGTTTCTTGGCCAGGTGCGGGTTGTTGGTCGCCATCCGCCACGTCTTGTGCACCTCCAGCTGCCGGTAAAGCTTCTTCAGCTCCTCCTGCGCCGCGGGCGGGGACGCGGCAGAGAAAAGGGAGAGAGGAGAGCGCCTACAGCGGGGGATGCGGCCGGGACAGCCCCGCCGAGCCCCGGGTTGTCCCCGTGTCCCCAAAACCCCCCTCGCTGCCCTGAGGACGCAGCGGGGTTTGCCCACCCGCCTGGGGTCACCCTCGTCCCCTCCCTCTGCTTTGCGTCAGGAAAAGATTGCGAAAGGCACCTCTTACTCTGCACAGCTAGCGTCAAAAGAAGGTCCTGAGTGTGCCACCCACCCGAATGTCATCGGGGTCGAGACTGTGCTCGCTCCAGGCGGACGCGATGCTGCTGTTCATGCAGGAGCCCGAGCGCCGCATGTCCAGCTCGTCCTCGTACACCTCGGCCGTGATCTCCTCCCGCAGCGGCGAGCCCGTGTGCAGGAACTGCGCGGGGACACGCAGGGGAGTCACCCGGGGGTCCTGTCCCAGCTCCCCGAGACTCTGGGGTGAGTGTTAGTGATGGAATCGTGGAGTTGTTGAGGCTGGAAAAGCTCTCCGAGGTCAGCGAGCTCAGCTCTTCCCCCAGCGCTGCCCCACGTCCCCAAGCGCCGCATCCACACGTTCTCGAGCACTTCCAGGGGTGGGGACTCCACTTGTGCCAGTGCTTTCCATGAGAAATTTCCCCAATATCCGACCCAAACCTCCCCTGGCCCAGCCTGAGGCCGTTCCCTCTCCTGTCCCCGTTCCCTGGGAGCAGAGCCCGACCCCTCCCCGCTGTCCCCTCCTGTCAGGGACTTGTGCAGAGCCAGAACGTTCCAGAGCTGCTTCTTCTCCTGGCTGAGCTCCCCCTGAGCCTCCTCTGGTGCTCCAGCCCCTTCCCCAGCTCCGCTCCTTCCCTGGAATACCTTGGGAATGAAGAGCAGGGCCAGGGTCATGGTGATGGTGCCGTGGGTGTGAGCGAAGAAGAGCAGCAGAGTCCAGTCCGGGTGCAGTGAGGGGACAATCAGGAACCTGGAAGGGACCAGGGGGGCAGTGCCAGCCCCCTCCCCACCCGGCCACCCACACCCTCCCCACCGCGGGGATCCCGAGCACTTTCCTTTGGAGATCCCAAACCCTTCCCAGCTCGGGATGGTTCCTGAGCATCCCGTGGGGTGGGAACTTGGATTCCCGGCCCTACCTGACGGCGTGGAAGGCGGCGGAGACCATGAGCTCGTTGTGGAGGGCGATGCCCAGGTAGCGGGGCTCGTGGAAGGCCGAGGGCACGGCGCGCGTGGCGTAGCACAGGAAGCTGCCCCACAGCAGCAGCAGCATCTCGGCTGTGGGACAGAGCGGGACAGAGCCTCAGCAGCCACACCCAGCCCCCCCCCGGCAGCTTTTTGGGGGGCTCAGCTGCTGCCCAGCGCCCGGGTGATGTCGGAACGTGCCGGGTCACAGCCGGGTCTGGAGCGTCCCCCAGCATGGCCTTCCCAAAATTTGGGATTCAACGCCTGAGCCAGGGGATGCTCAGGGGGGAGAGGCAGCTGGGACACCCCAAACCCTCCTTAAAACCTCCAGGAGGATTGGAGGGACTGAAAGGGAATGAAAGCCCCACATTTATGGGATGGGGTCCTGGGGCTGTGGGACCCTCAGGTCCTTGAAACTTCCAGGTGGATTAAATGGACAAGGGAGTGAAAATGATGGGATGGGATCCTGGGGCCGTGGGGACCTCCAGGGCCTTGCAGCTTTCAGGAAGATTAAATGGACAAGGGAGTGAAAATGATGGAATGGGGTCTCAGGGCTGGTCCTTGCAGCTTCCTGGTGGATTAAATGGACAAGGGAATGAAAGCCCCTCGTTTATGGGATGGGATCCTGGGGCTGTGCGACCCCCAGGTCCTTGCAGCTTTCAGGAAGATTAAATGGATAAGAGAGTGAAAGCCCCACATTTAGGGGTGGGGTCCCGGGGCCGTGGGGACCCCCAGGACACATCGGGGGCCGGTCTCACCGATGACCATCATGTAATCCCAGCAGTCGTGGCCGCAGATGGAGAAGTGGAGGCCGCGGGTGGTCTGGGCACGGATGACCAGCGGGATGTTCTTGCGGGCGTTCTCCAGCATGCCGATGGTCCAGGCGGCCAGGAACCACAGCACCAGGAGCAGGATGGGCGCCAGCATCCGCAGCACCCGCCCGCTCGACACGTAGGGAGCGTGCTGGGCCGTGCGGGACAGGAACACCTTCAGCACCCTGCCAAGGGGCGTGGAGGGTGAGACCCCCGCCCGTCACAGTGAGACCCCCGCACTGAGCCCCCCGCCTGTCCCAGTGAGACCCCCACACTGAGACCCCTGCCCATCCCACTGAGCCCCCCGCACTGAGACCCCAACCCATCCCAGTGAGACCCCTGGCTACCCCAGTGAGACCCCAAGCTGTCCCAGTGACCCCCTACCCCATCCCAGTGAGAGCCCCCGCTATCCCACCGAGCCCCCAGCCCATCCCATGGAGCCCCCAGCCCATCCCAC